TGCCTCACCCCAAAAACTTTCAGGCAAATCTGAATGACTCATCATGCTGCGAACAGCATCTTGATAAGTACGATTTCTTCTTTCAGCTACTCCATTTTGCTGCGGAGAACCTGGGAGAGTGTACTGAGGAACAATGCCTTGTGACCTCAAATACTCAATGAAGGGACCATGATTTGTGCCGTCCTGATCGCTTTTACCATAGAATTCCCCACCTCGATCAGAACGCACGGATTTAATATTTCTTTCTAATTGTTTTTCAACTTCAGCTTGAAAGATCTTGAAAACATCCAGTGCCTCATATTTGTGGTGAAGAAGAAAAATATAGGCATAGCGCGAAAAATCATCTATGAAAGAGATAAAGTATCGCTGACCACCATGAGAGGGAGTGGGAAAAGGTCCACAAATATCTGTATGAATGAGGTCAAGGAGACCTTCACTCCTGGAGGCTTCAAATTTTCTCAATTTAGTCATCTTTCCCTTGATACAGTCAACACATGTACCAAAATCAGAGAAATCTAGCTGTTCAAGAACACCAAACTTTACTAAGGATTCCAATCGCTTTCTTGAAACATGTCCTAATCTCCGGTGCCAAAGTATGGAAGAATTGCTATTAAGCCTAGGACGCTTTGTACCAGAAGAAGATGAATTCACAGACATACATAGAGGAGAAGGAAAAGATGCATCCAGATTTAATCTATAAAGACCGTCAATCAAGAAACCATGTCCGATAACATCCAAACCATTTCTGATGGAGACAGAATTATTCTCGAAAACAAAGCTATAACCAGATCCAGAAAGTCTAGAAACTGAAATAAGATTCCTTCTCATAGAAGGTACGTAGAAAGTGTCTGATAAAACTAAGGAAACTCCAGAATCCAAGCGCAGACTGAAAGTCCCAACGAGCTCCACCTTCATAGGCTGTGAGTTTCCCAAAAATAGCTGCTCATTTGCCCTTGCCTTCCGACTGTGGATTATTCCATGTGATGAAGTTGAAATGTGCACAGAGGCACCAGAATCAATCCACCAAGAATTTGAAGGAACATCAACTAAATTTGTTTCACAACAAACATGAACTAAATCCCTACAAACTGTACTGTACTGTCTCGCTCTAACGGATTCCTCATTCCGCTTCTGGATAAACTGTCCGTCCATCTGTATTAAACCATGGACATATAAATCAAATGAGACCTTTAATTTAATTAACTTTAATATTTCCACATCCAATTTAGGGTTAGAATGGATGGGTCAGAGTGTTTTACGTATGCAACCTTCCACTCTGCGGGACAGGCGGGGGCATCATCTCATCACACCTTTGGGCAAGTGATTTGACATGCTATTCGCCCCCCAAATGTGATATATAATCACCTACAGAACTAGCCTACACAGTGTCAGTTTGATTTGAACACTTCCTAACCTTTGGGCAATAGGGTTATTCTCCTCTCACTGACATGTTTCAACTATCCTGCACCACTTATCCTGTAGGGGATTTCCTAGACACCTTTGGGCAAGACTAGTAGTCCACCCACAGATAAGTGCAACCTTCCAGTCCAAATGAGAGTAAACTCAACCTTAGAAAATTAGGGTATTATAGGTTGGTCACCTTTGGGCAAGACACTAACCTACTCTACCATAATTTCTAAGTGACTGTTTTACTGATCTTCCTTAACCCCATAGGTTGATCTAATACTGTAGTCCGTTTTATCATGAACCCAAATATTTACCCCCACCTGAATTAAGGATATAATCAGAGTAAATCAATTATCTTTATGTGCATACAAAAATCTTTATGAATTGTCCAAATTTCTGTATTAAAACTTTATAAAATTAAAATAAAAACTGTATAGTTGAAAAGAACACAAAATAATCTTTCCAACGACTATTTATGGGCTCAAATCGGACTTAAAACGGACCTGTAGCGACCAAAACAAAATGAATGGTCAAAACTGTAATGGGTCGGGTCTGAAAAATTAATGGGTCTGACCCATTTCATAATGGGTTGGGTCTGAATTAATTAATTAATTATAACCTTAATTAAACCCTAACCATAAACTCACCCAACCCAAGAGCCGCCGCCAGCACCCAATCTCCCACAGAACCGACCCTCCGCCGTCGGCCGCAACCCCGCCACCTGCCGCAACCCCGCCACTGGCCGCCGCTCACCGCTGAGCACCGAATCCGCAGAGAGAGAGAGAGCGCGTGCATAGAGGGCGTGGCATGGCGAGGAGCAGCCATGGTTGATGCGGCATTAAAAAAAAATTGTGAACTCAAAGATGGCCCTTATTTTTTTTTTTTTAACTTTGTTGTGGCCGTGAGTTCTTCGGAGATAAGATTGAATTAAACAAGTAATCAATCGTAAGAAAACACGCTGAATCCCTTTTTTTTTTAACGTTGATCTATTTCTAGCGTTTGACGGCAAACAAAAACGCAGATGCAAACATAAGCATTGGATGCAACCGTAGATCCTCTTTTTTTTTAATAAATCCGAAAATAAAAACTTTAATTCTAGATCAAAAAATTCATGCACAAACATGCTCTGATACCACTGTTGGATAATTTAACGATCTAGACATGAATAATTAAACTAGAAATATAAATTAATTACCGTTCACCGACGAAAATAATGGAAGTCTTCTCCTCTCTCCTCCCGTAGCCAATGATGGGAATTAAGTCTCTTTTCTGCATACGGTTGAGAGGAGGGACTCCCACTCTTTAAATAGATATTTATGATTAACCCTACCCATCATGGTTTAATCACAACCGTGGGATTACACTCCGGTTGATCCTATCCTTTAGATATTCAAGATAACCACCCAACTTGATAAGCATGAAACTGTCTAACCAGACCATGTGGTTAGTATCCTGATCCTAACTTGAATCGATAGCAACTTTAAATCAAATCCAAAATCGAGTAGGTTGGGTCACTTGGGTTCGTTGGATTAATCGAACCCAACATGTATCACATGTCTAAAGATTAATCGGATACTTACAAATGCTTTTGATACTTTTAAAAAATAATGTAACCGGCCAGTATAATTTTCCCTGTGCTTTGAGGATCCTTTTTATGATGATTTTCACATTTTTTTTAATATATATAGCATAACTTATAAAAGAAGACGCTTCATAGAAAAATCATAAGTAAAAATTATTATCGATTTTAAACTAGTATAAAGAGGAAAAATTGGTGTTACTAAAAAATCCTATAGCATATAGTGGGTTTAAGGTTGGCGGCTCAATTTAATTGGCTAAATATATAAATAATAAGACATAAATACTTGGTGAGGCTCACCCTACTTATCACGTTAAAATCTGTAGACTTAACACTTCTATCTCTTGATAAATGAGTTGCCACTTTATACTCATTAATCCTAATCTGGTGTATATAGAAATTGAACCAATGTAAGCATAAGTATGATTATGAATAGTAAAGATCTTGTGAACTTAAGTGGATAGAAAACTTTGGGTCACTAGTTTTTTATTTATTAATTTTGCTTTACCATGCGATATGCATCAATAAATAACGAGTATAAGTAGGGTAAGAGTTCATGTCCACTTCATTATTCTAGTTTTACTATAAGTAGAGCTTTAAACTAATAATAAGAAATATATAAGCTCCTTCTTCTCTCCTATATCAATTATTTTCCATTGAGAACCTCCACCCCACCCCCTCCACACCCTCCCCCCCCCCCCCCCCCCAAAAAAAAAAAAAAAAAAAAGAAAGGAAAATCATCGGAGACCAATCACAAAGAGTACATATGAAGCAAAATGAGTATAAACAAAAGGGGTACTTGCATATTTGTCTCTTACATTATCTATAATTATAAATTAGTCTCTCAAATATCAGTATTTGCTTAGTAGTATCTCAAATATGCAGTTTATTGCAATTTTGTCATTCTATAATTAGTTTTTCAGTTGGTTTTATAATCGTGAATGGTTATCTCTTAACCCAACATCTGCATTTACCTACCCCACCTCTTCCCCCTCTTCCTCATTATATATTTAGAGGGGATATTATATGAAAAGAACTTTGAAATGAATTTTAGGATGTCCTTAACTATTGAGGAAGAAGGACTTTTTAGTTTAGAGTTTTAATATAAGCGGGTTGTAGGTCTAAACCCGCTAAGAAATAGGGTGGCTGAGTTTTAAATGAGGGTATAACAGATAAATCCTCTCATTTTATTTAATATAATGGTGAAATATTTCCCTCAAAACTTGTATTACTAAATATATTACTAAATCAGATGGACTAATTTGCAATACACATACAGGTACGAGAGGTTAACGAACAAATTCTGAGATTGGAGGTACCAACTAATAATTATGAATAATGCAAGGAACTAATACGCAAGTAACCCTAAAATAGACACTGACATTCATCGGTATAAATGAACGGGGGGCCCTACATATCAAAACCTCTCCACCTATGCCCGCGACACAACCGAAACGATAGAGAGAGAAAGCTCGTACGCTGCTGCTAGCAACCGCCAAACCGTGAGATCACGGGGATCTTGATCCCTTCAGTACCCGCTAACGGCACCACAACAACCCAACCCACACACTGACACGCGGGGTCCATGCTCCACTAAAGCAAATTACGTCTTGAAGCAGCTTTCTGTGTGTTTCCCTGTGGGCCCCCGGAACCGGCGCCTGCGGAGGCGACGAGCCGCTGCCGACGTGGCCCCGAGCATACTGCTGACGCTGTCGCCGTGTTCCCGTTCCTTAGTCCGGTCGTATTGCTTCTCCGTGCGACCCACAGCAACGCTAAAGTACGACTCGACACCCGCACAAGGCGCCACACAAAAGCTGTGCGGCCCCCACCCGCTTTGGCTCTCCGCACCGCCTGTTATTAACGTGCGCGGTCAGTTCTAACGTGCCACTATACCCGTCGATATTTCACGTTTTTTTGCTATTTTTTCTATTTTTTAATTTCATTAAATTTCTAGCTTTTCAGACCCACTTGCCTCTTGTTGCTTTTAAACTTTTTGTGTGGGCTGACTTGCTCCCGCTTCGGTTCATTCTGCTGCTAAAAACCCTAGATTTTTCCGCCCCTAATTTTAAAACCCTAAATCGAAGAAACTCCCAATTTTCTTCGCTCTGCTGTCTAAAGATTCGAGGTCGGTTCTCTTTTGCTTCTAAAATTTTTGGCTTTGATGCTAATATCGCACGTGTTTCATCACATATATCTGTAGTTGTTATGGGTTTAAATATTGTTGTGCTGTGAATGCTTTACCTTCCGAATTCATGCAAAGTTATGTTTTTTTTTTAGTTTTTAGTTATGTCGAATATATTTATGTGGTAATTTAGCTTTAATATTATCACAGAAGGCACTATACCCCGCTCTCCCCGGTTGCTAGCTGTAAAAGGAAAGCAATTTTTCTTTTAATAGGTGTTCGATGAATCTGGACTGTATTATTACAAATCTTTCTAATTTTAAATCATACAGCTAACTAATCCATTTTTATCTTGTTTTTTTTTTTTTTGCAGTGTACTAATTCATTGATTTCTGTTCAGTGTAGATCTCCTTTGGTGTTTTGGTCTCTGTCGTGCTGGGGCCTTTGCTAGAATCGTCGCGATCTTTTAAGGTTTGCTTAGCTTTGACTTTGGTACATCATTTGTTGCTTTATTCATGTGTTTGATCTTCTTCATGTTCTCTTTCATTCATATCAATGACTTTGGAATCGGATTCCGAATTATCTTATCGTTATGTGTAGTTCATCCGTTTGGGTTTCGATTCTGTTGCATTGATAAGGCCCTGTCTCCATCTTTTTCTTTTTGCACTTATTCTAGGATCTGATTCATGTGCTTAGTCTAGCTTTAGATGGCCTGCCTCTGCTCTAGATTTTGAAGGGCTTCATGGTATTTAGACCCTGTGCTTAGTTGTGCTTGGGAGTCAGAGTTCTTTAAGCTGTGTTTAATGCTTGTTCATCGTTTTGGGTTTTCTAGTGTTATCGCTTGTGAGTTCTGTAGCTTTCATTTTAATTCTGCCATCAACTTATGATTGATTTATTATGCCTGAATAGTACCGACTTTGTTGGCCAATTGGGCACCTTTCTTGTTTGTGAACCAGTACATTGAGTAGTATATGCTTTAGTGAAGTATTCTCTTAGAGTTTAGTGTATGATTTTCTTCCTTCTAATAGAGTAAATCATGCTTTGTTGTATTTACTATCATGGACTAGGCATGCGAGTAGCAGCATGAACAGTGTTCAAGCATGCAAAGATAATTGAATGGCTTTCACTTATGCATCTGCTATATATGTTGTTTGAACTTTGCACTTCTTATATTATGTTACATTGATATTATCTGTTCCAATACAGTTCCATTTAGAGTTTCAGCAAGCTTCTCTTATTACTATTATGTTACATTGATATTATCTGTTCCAATACAGTTCCATTTAGAGTTTCAGCAAGCTTCTCTTATTATTATGTCGTGATATCAGAGTTCCTTACAATTTCTCCTTTTTTTTACTGATCCTCTTAAAAATGTTTTCTTCAAATGTTTTTTTCCTTTGCTTTTCCAGGTACATGTAACTATAAGCATCTGACTTTCAGATTAAAAAGAAAGTAATTTTCATGATTTCATCAACAAGGGAATATGCACTGTAATTGCAATATAGTTAAACAAATTAACTTTCTCACTTGCTTAATTTCTCAATTGATTCTATATAAGTTTGTTTATGTGCTTTTTTGCTTAATTTCTCACTGTAATTGCTTAATTTCTTCTTGGTCCTTGGTGTAGTTTGACGGAAGATGCAATGTTTGACATATTAAAGGAAGAGTTTCTTTAAATATAAGTACGAACCCCTACCAACTTTTCCTTCTTCCCCTGGACTAAAAAAAAATGCACGCAAACACATGATTGCAAACCCCCTAAGCGAGGTTCTGTTTCTTCTTTATTCATATCCCTTATTAATTACAGATGCCTGGATAGAATTTGGTTTGCTATATGGTTACTTTACCGCATATCATAACTTTTGAAGAGTTGTAGTTTCAAATGTTTCTGTCCATGTTTCAGATCCTGTCCTGTGGTACACCTACTTCGGTATCTGTTGCCATGTACAAGTGTAACTTCTCATTCAACAATGAGTATCATGATGAATTACACTTCAAAAAGTATCTAGATTTGTATTCTTTTACACCTGTAGTTCACAAGTTAAGTTTACCTACTAATTTACTTTGAAATGTGAAAAAGCATGATCTTGATCTCCTGATTTTTTAAGCAAGCAAAGTAAGACCTTGTATTTTGATTAATGTTATTAAGTAGAGTTGAAAAAAAAGAAACCTTTATTTTTAGTAACATAATATGGTAACTTGAAAGAATTCGTATAGATTGTCCTGTAGAGATTGGTCAAATTTTTTTGCTTTGCGTTCAAGGTCTCGTATCCTATGTGTTCTACGGTTGTTCAAATCAGAACTGGTCATAGGGAGGTCTATAGCTGTAGACTAGTCTCTTGTTTGATCTGTAAATTAGGGTTATTCGTATCTTAGTTTACTGTAACTAGTGGAATAAATCAAAAAGTACTGTGGTGATCAAATGCTTCACAGTCGTTAAAATCATTTCTGCCAACTTTTTCCTTTAGAAAAAGAAAAGAATCGAGAAACTGCAGCACTTAGAAGTTAGAAGCCTTAGAAGCTTCAAATTTCCATGTTTCATCAAACCTTGCTCATGTTTTGCCATTGCATGATTTATAGCTGCCTAAAAAACATGGAAAATCAAGGAATGCTTGCTTTCTCATCTTTCTTAGATGCCAATTGTGGCCATAGAATAATCTTCGAGAACTTGTTTAGTGTCAAAGTTCTTTGGTACCCAATAAATTGGTCTTGCGATTTGTTAGATTTTCAGAAGATCTTGTGACTACAAGAGTGTGTATAGGACCTTAAAGGCCTCGTGGGTACAGCTTATTTCACTTGCATTTCCAGAAACCTTCCTTCACTGGTTCTACTTTAATTCTCTGTTTAAACTGTAGCTTAATCAGAATCTATTATTAGATTCTTTTTGTGTCACTAAAAGATATGACGCTGATCAAGGTTTTAAATATCGGCCGACATGTCCGATATGTCGGCCGACATATCGGTTTGAGGGCTTGACCGACACGACATTGACGTTTTCAACTCGTATATCGGTTTTCAGAGCCAAATCGGAAATATCAGGGTCATATCGGGCATATCAGCCTATTTTTTAGCTTTAAAAAATCGACCGATATGATACTTTTTTTTAAGATCTGTTTTTTGTTATCGGGTTTGGGTTTAGTGATAAATACCCAAACCCGTTTGACTCGTTCTCATGTTTAAGGGTTCCTTATGAACCCGATAGAAAGAATTTATGAATCCAAATCCATATATTATTTACTTTTTTATATGTTTAGTCTATAGAATTTAGAAAGTATGCTTATATTGAATTTATGAATGCTTAGATTACATTTAGGACATGATATTTTACATATGCGCACTACCCGATATGACAATCCGATATTTAGTCAATGTCCCCCGATATATCCCCGATTTCCGCTATCCGATATGGATTCCAGCCATCCGACATGAACCCGACATCCGATATTTAAAACCTTGACGCTGATAATGATGTGAAATTTCATGATTAATAGATAATTATAGACGTAACTGTGTGCAAAATCGTTTGGAAAGTTAAGAGTACGTTAGAGATCGTACTTTTTGCAGATTTATTCCCTCCAGGGAATGCATAGCAGTAATATTACTTGAATACTCATGTACGTCAAGTTCTGGAGATTTGTTAAGTTCCTACAAAAAATTCTATTTTCTTTTCGTATTCATAATGTCACAGCGTTGGTGAAGAAATTGTTTACTTCCTGAAGAATCATCATTCTTGCATCAGCCCTTCATCAATTTAATTCTACTTCATGTCTTTCTCCTCCTGCTAGGCATCATTTCATGGTAATAATACCATATGGCGCTGTGACATCCTAGCTTTTACCCCTATATTTGTATTACCCAAATTCAGCAGATATCTCTCTTAGAAAAGTTATAGTACTTATTGCTGCATTTGTAGCTCATGGGTGAAAGACGCCTATTTTGCACTTTCTTGCAATTTGGGCATAAAATAAAAGGCTCATCTCAATTATTTCAGGATTACAAAGTTCTTGTATGTTTTCTCTACTTTGGATTAGGAAAAAAATTCATGTTGGGTATTCACAACTACAACTATCATCTTCTAGTTGAATCTATTTTTTTATTGTATTGCAACACTGATTGAATGCCAAGACGCTATCCCCCAAGATTCATTTCCGTCTGCTTAATAGTAGAAAGTGAATCATGCTTTCTTTTGTCTTTTATTTTATTTTTTAAATACATCATTAAATTACTAATGCCATTGTTCTTGCAGAGGAATTTCAGCTTTGTGGGCCTTGTCCTATGAAAACAGTATTTGCTGATCACCAGCTGTTGTTTTGTGATTTCGCAAACTACTACTGATCAGCTTAGGTTTTTCCTTCTACTTCTTCGAAATGGATCGTTGTGATACATCTGGATTCGTTAGCGGGGGTTGTGAGGACTCTTTCAAGATCTCCTAACATTAACTTGCTCTACTGACCAAAAAAACATTAACTTACTCTTACTAACATTCAATCCCTGAAGTCAGGCTAACTTTTCACTTTTTCTCCACAAGATTTGGTTGAAATAAGAGAGTATTTCGATTACTACATGGAAAAGGGCTTTGGGTGCTTCCGATTCTCTTCCAATCTTCATTCAAATGCTTTTGGTGGTTGCAGTGGAGCTTCTATTGGAGCTGAATCTGGCTCAACAGACATTAGCCTGCGGCTGGATTCTCCTGGAACTACCACTTTGTATAAGTCCAATTCAGTAGGGTCTAAGAGGAAGTGGGATGATATTTACGGGGCTGATGGTCCAGGAGACGCCTTTCTATCTCTGGGTTTAGGGCGACCGTCAAGTTCCTCTGAGAACAGCAAGGGCAGCTCTGGAACTGTTTGCACTATGTCTTCGGTTAAGGAAATAACTGACGAGGAATCCTCCGTGGATTTAGGCTTGAATTTTCAGCTTCACCTTGGCAATGAGAATACATCTGGTCCTAGAAAGCATCCTGCTGTTACCCCCGAGACACTGAAGACCGGTCCTGTCTGTAACCTCCAGTTAAGTCTGTCAACAGTGCCATCTGAATCTGTTATCACGGACATTTCTCCCATCTCTGCACAGCATCAGAATAGTCAGAAAACATCACTGGTAGCCAGTCCAGTGACAATCACAGATGAAGCAATCTCAACGCCGTTTGATTGGAAATTAGGAGGGTCTATGGCGCCATCCTTGAACAACATGGGTGCAAGCAGTGGCTATACTCTTAAGCAGAACTCTCCTGCGAAAGCTGATCCAGTTCCAGCTACTCCAGACCTCCCATCAAGTATGACAGAAGCACTGCAAAGTTCAGTAGCCTGCGCTTCCGGGACAACTCATTCACAGCCACGCAACACCAGCACCAAGATTTGCCAATTCCAGGGATGTGTAAAAGGGGCTAGAGGTGCCTCCGGGCTATGCATAGCTCATGGCGGGGGCAGAAGATGCCAAAAGGATGGTTGTCACATGTAGCCATGAGGGTTGCATACGAGCTGCCAGGGGGAAATCCGGATTATGCATTAGACATGGAGGAGGAAAGCGATGCCAAATGGAGAACTGCACAAAAAGTGCAGAAGGGTATTCTGGTCTTTGCATCTCTCATGGAGGTGGTCGTCGCTGCCGGTTCCCACAGTGCACTAAAGGTGCACAGGGGAGTACAATGTATTGTAAAGCTCACGGTGGAGGAAAGAGATGCATGGCTATAGGATGCACGAAGGGAGCTGAAGGCAGCACTCCATTCTGTAAAGGGCACGGTGGAGGCAAACGATGTTTATTTCAAGGCGGTGGTGTGTGCCCTAAGAGTGTGCATGGCGGGACTCAGTTCTGTGTTGCTCATGGTGGTGGAAAGAGGTGTGCTGTGCCCGAGTGCACTAAAAGTGCAAGAGGACGAACTGATTTCTGTGTTAAGCACGGTGGAGGAAAACGATGCAAGGCTGAAGGTTGTGGGAAGAGTGCACAGGGGAGTACTGATTTCTGCAAGGCACACGGTGGAGGGAAAAGGTGTTCTTGGGGCCACGGTGGTTTGATTGACTTTGGGGCTGGTGGCCCTCCTTGTGATCGATTTGCTAGGGGAAAGACTGGCTTATGTGCGGCGCACAGTGCTCTCGTCCAAGACCGTTGTGTCCATGGTGGAGGCACTCTGGGAGCTGCTGCGGTCCCCCGAATTCCGGTGACTGTTAAACCCGGGAAGCTTAAAGAAGTTTCTGTTCCACAAATGGCTTGGAATTTTCCTGATCAGCAGAAGTTTATGCATCCTCCTACGGTATCCCTGCACCCGAAACCGGTCTCTCTTCCAGAAGGGAGAGTGCATGGAGGAAATCTGATGGCATTTCTATCTAGCAATGGAGCCGTTGGGGGCCAATCTGTCAACTTTACAGAGGCTGGCACTTCAAAGCAGGGTGGAATGCATCAGTGGATGTAGAAACAAAGGATGTTTCTTGTAGAGTCTCTGCTCTCTTGCTTGTGGCTTTGAATTGGTATTGTGTTTTTGTCTGTCAGTTTGCCCTGAAGTGAGGAAATTAATTTTTCTCATTCATTGTTTGCATTGGTTAAAACACCAGATGTGGTCTGAAGATAACCCCCGTATGAAATAAAAAGAATAAGAGGGGGGAATATAGGCGAGTTTTAAGAGTCCAAGTTTGCTAGTTTAGGGGTGGTAGGTTGTCTGCCGTGAAGTTGACCGTAAACCTTCTCGCTGTGAATAATTGATCTTAGCTTTATAAAGCTGCTTGTAAAAGAGTCCTGTGTTGATATTTGAAGAATTTCAATGTATTGTGCTCTGTTATCTTCATCATGCATGTGTTTCTCTTTTATTTGTTACCTATCCAAATTTCGTTACATAATTTTATTGGATATTTGTGCTTGTATTTCGGAATTGATAGAAGGAAAATGCCAAGTGCACTGCTACCCCTTGTGCGCCGTCTCATTCATAGAATGATGGGTTTTGCTTCTTTCCGATATGGATGAGGTTTTGGTATGCAAAGTTCCAATGTGATTACTTCGACGGTTTTACCCCAATACATGCACATTTAAGCGAAGGTTGACTCAAATGTTTATTTCAGGAGGGTTTTCAGAAAAAAAGTAGATAATATCCATTTCAGGAAAATGGACTACAGCATGTTCCTGGATTTAGGGATCTAATGCTGAGGCTGAGCTTCCGTGAATATGCATCATGGTGCTGAAAAAGATTTGATGGCTCAAGCGGTTTAGAAATTGGAATGCCGTCCTTGTGGAAAGTAAGATAAGAAAATTAAAAGTTGAAACGAAACTTTGATGGAGACGAGATAGAAAATTCAGAGAAGAATCCAATCCGTATCTTATATTTATAGATTTGTAAAATAGTTGGGGATTATCCTCGCTCCCTAATGAAAAAAATTAACATAAAGAATGAAATGATTGAGATTATTTCTCAAAAAGAGAGAATTGCCAGAGTTGTCAGTGTAGTAATAGGACTCGTGTAACTACAAACTCAACCGCTTCAAAATAAATGATAATTGTGGACTACCCTAGGCCGTTAACGTTATACAAAGCAATCACCATAAGATACCTAAAATTGACTGTAAGTGAAATAAAACAATTCTAACATCTTATTCATGCAAACTAAGAATCAAATCTGGCATACAATTGGAATCCACACTGGTCCCAAACAGCCCCAAAATACATAACAAAAAGCGACATATCACACTGGATACACAAAAATGAGAAGAAGAAACCCACATTCCCAGAATTGGGAAGCTAGTTTGCCCCAAGTCTTCTTGCCTTTTCAGCATCACTCGGTAGGTCGTGCGAGAAAAAGGCTTCATCCAAGTATATAGATTATACCTGCCTCACCTGGATGTTGTGGGTGGATTGAGACCTCCAGATTGGCTGTCTGCCGCTCTGAACGAGAGCTATCTCCTCGCCTTCCTTCACCATGCCATGCTCCTGTAGTATTCAGACAGTTTTTTTAATTAAAATAATTGAATAGGTATTCGTAACTGTTCTCTGGTATTAATTACTCAGAGTGAAAAACGCTACGTAGAAACTACAAAGTTTGAAGATTCACATCCATTATTTAACTGAGAAGACTATTTTGTTGAATGTTGAATACTATTTAGTTGCCATTATAGATAGAACTCGTTGTGTTGCTGATAGAGCATGGATTGAGTATAATAATGTCGGCAAATCAGGTCGCTCGTGTATTCAATTAACAGTTTGATGTAGGACAAGCAAAGCTTGATTGGGTGTGCATCCCAGGGCCCACTTCTACAGTCTGCAGAAGTGAACTAAAACTGTACAGGACTCGTGATACTATTTCTCTAGTCATGATCTACACCTTTGTGTGTGCGGAATACAGGAGTAAAAGACATTTCCTATTTTGAACATATCTCAGTCACCTAATAGGCTAATACTATTATTTAAATAAAGACGGAAATGACGCCCAGAAGAACCCAAAGAAGGGTCACCAATTATGCTTGTATACTCATTTTAGTTATTTGAGCAAAGACTAAAAAAAGAAACAAGTATATCTGAAAATCAATTTGGTTTTATACCTAGAAGGTCACCTATGAAACCGATACATATTTTAAGACGGTTGATTGAGAGATATAGAGAGAAGAAAAAGATCACATATGGTTTTTATCGATCTAGAAAAAACTTATGATAGAGTGCCTAGAGAGGTAATGTGGTAGGTGTTAGAAAAGAAACATGTACCTAGTATATATATTGATGTGATTAAAGATATGTATGATAGAGTAACAACTAGAGTAAGAACTAATGAAGGAGACTAAACCATTTCTTATTACCATAGATTTACACCAATGGTCAACTTTAAGTCCTTATTTTTTTACATTAGTTATGGACCAACTTACTAATCACATTTAGAATGAAATCACATGGTGTATGTTATTTGTCGATGATATAGTATTAATAGATGAAACTAAAAAATGTATTATTTTCAAAGTAGAAAAATAGAGACAATCTCTTGAATCTAAAGGTTTTAGAATTAGTAGAATAAAAACAGAATATATGTAGTGCGTTTTTAGTAAAATTAGGAAAGAAAGAGAGTACATATTGATGAACAAAAAATACCTAAAACTAATCATTTTCGTTATTTAGGATCAATCATTTGGCATGATGGTAAGATAGGGGATGATGTTGTGCATTGAATCAAATTGGGATAGTTGAAATGGAGGAGTGCTTCATGAGTCTTATGTGATCGTAGAATACTAATGAAACTAAATGAAAAATTCTATAGGATAGTTATAAGACTAACCATGTTTTATGGGTCAGAGTGTTGGGCAAGTAAAAAACATGTTAAAAAAAATGAGTGTAGCAGAAATAAGAATATTGTGATAGTCTTGTGGGTATACATTAGAAGCTAAGATAAGAAATGAGCGCATCCGTAGTAATTTTGAGGTTACACCTATTGAGAATAAAATGAGAGAATAGATTATAATGGTTTGGTCATATACAACGGAGACCCCTTAGTGCACCGATTAGGAAAAGCGAAAATATTAGAGTTAATGGGGCTAAGAGATCTAGAGGTAAACCTAGAATGACTTGGTTAGAAGCAATTAAGAAGGATATGATTAAAATTAACTTAACACGGAGGAGATGACTCATAAAAGAATGGAATGGAAAAATAGGAATGTAGCCGACACTAAACATTTGGGATAAAGGTTTGGCTGTTGTTGACTCATTGTAGTTATTATGTGTGGAAATTTATTTTTCTGAGATAGGTTAATATCTGATCTTCAGGTTAGGAAAGGGAAAAAATATAGAAATGATCGGTGAACATTATCACTTCATCATCTGTTTGGTATACCCACGAAATGAGCAACTCGAATTACATGCTATTAATAAAGTCTATTGTGGTTATATTCTCAAGTAAAACTTCCCTTGAACAGTGAGATATTTCTAGGTTTTTGTGATGCTTAAACATCCCTTAAAATTTCATCTAACTTTTAAATAAGAGAGAATCCAGAATAAAAAACTTCGCAAAGGAAGTTCCTACATTATTTGAGAGTTAAGTCACCCAAACTACAAAAGGCTTCAGCTCGATAGCACTATAATAGTCTATAGACAACAATACTTGTTTGGAATAACTAGCAGTAGTTGCCATATATTTATGTTATACCCATGAAATAAATAATCTGAATCTTAAAATTGGGAGATACTTGAAGATAAACTACAATACCTGCAAGTAAGAAAGAGCCTCAGCAAAGGTCTTTTCTGCGTCATCTGAAAATTTCATGTAGATGGGGCACACCCCTTGGTACAAGGCCAGCCTTTGTCGCACTCTCTCCCTACATGATAATCAAATATCAGTCTGATTGTTCTGTCCCAATGACATGTCCACTTAAAGCAGTGGCTGATACTAGTCAGGTGACTTTATGGAAAAGGTGAATTAAAAGACTCATAAAGAACAAAAGAAAGAAATCTTAAAACTGGACTTATCAGATTCATACTCATCAGTGAAGGCAAAAATAGTTCCAGAGGGTCGATAATGGCTGAGTAGGATAGCCATAAAGCCAGTCCTAGTGAACACTATGGTTGATGTGCCTAGAGTGTTTGACATCATTGTTGCATGGTAGGCAAACATTTCACTCATGTGGTTCTGCAAGAATAGAACAAGTTTAGCGCTAAACAAATTTAAGAGCCTGGACTGCACTTATGAAAAATAAAAATCAAGTTATGGACAACTAAGGTTTACAATGAAGGGATAAGTCCTTGAACCTTAAATGCTTGTCCAAGATTAGTTGGTTTTTCGGCTTCCACCAAAGTAGCTTCGGTCCTCAGAGCTACTGTGTGCATGACTTTCACGGCTTTCAAAGGGAACCTGCATAAGGGCAACACTACAAGCTGTTAAAAGGTATTGCTGATCAGATAATTGAAAAGATATTGCCATAATCAACTCATTAATCTCTTTAAACTGGGATTTACTCGAGATATTGTACTTCTTGAGGGAGAAAAATAACATAAATATTTTTGTAAACGACCAACTAATTAAAGAAACATTACTTCAGAAACATATATGCAATGGTACAGTGTGAAAGACAGAAAGCAAAAACTCGTATTATACAAGAAATTCATTAGCAAGCAAGCAGAATGTAAAGCAAATTATGTCTCTGATAAAAAAGTTATAATGATGTAGGAAATTGATGAAACAGCTATATATCATAGTCATATAGAGAACTTTTTCTATCAGAATACTGATAACAAGTTAAAGTTACATATACAATCATTTCTAATAATAAATAAGGGTAGGCTTAAGAGTATTGAGAAGATATTATTGACAGGCATCCTACATGGTAACAATCAGGTTATTGTTCGTAAAATTGTGGATTTGAATGAAACTCAACTTTTTAAATAACAGAAACATCAAATTTGTTTTAATATCACCTACAAGTTGGATGCTGTTATAGCCGTCTAACCATTCTGTTTGAAACAAAAAAGCATGTTGAGCAAAAACGATATAACATTCTAAAAGGAAACAAAACCTATTCATTTCCCAAAAGATCAATCCTCTTACTTTCCATGAGCAGTTTCTCCAGAGAGCATGACTGCATCAGCACCCTCACGGACAGCAATGGCAATGTCTGAGACTTCTGCTCGGGTCGGTGTAGGATGGACAATCATACTTTCCAGCATGTTTGTTGCAACGATAACAGCTTTTCCCATGCTCCGACACATTCTAATGATTTCTTCCTGCACTTGGGAGAATGGAAGATATCATACATCATGTCGATGCAGTTAAAGAACAAGTGGTGGTGTTTACTAGTTCTGTATTGACAAAAAATTGAAAAGGAAGAAAAGAAAAAGATAAGGGAAGATCTGAAGAGATATCCCATATCCAGCTAAGAGGAGAGAGATTATGTTTCTTTTACTTCTCTTCTATATTAATTGAAGATCTTGTGAAAATTTCCTCTGCTTAATGAACAATTGCTTCTTACAAGTCTACAAACTCTTTAGCTCAGTTGGACAATAAATGCTGTAAGAGATATTCATACAATAAACTAGATGAAAGGTACACAGATACACTGATATACATACACCAACAAAAAGCAGGAGCCAGTTTTATTCACATTTTTGTTTTCACCACTTCGTCTCTGTCCTTTTTTTACTCAGAAGGGTTTCCATCGTGCAAATATGATGAGGAACGGGGCTATTTTCAAGAAAACATTTGGGTCGATGCTGCATACTTGAGTTGTCAGATGCAAACTCCCTCAGATTTTGAACATTTATTATGCAGAAGTCTTTCCTGGACTAGAGAATAACTTTTTTTGGGAAGGTAAATATAGATGGCACAGGTGCAGCACTAGTCTTATATATATATGATGAAAACTACCAAACATGGCAACTGCAGAAATACCTTGTCTAAATAATATGTAGGTTCTAAAAATTCATAGATTTCTGTTATCTTTATGCCCCCATTTTCCGTCTATCTCACAAGTTACTGTTAAAATTAATAACTGAGAAGTATCCACAAGTTTGATAGATGGTTATCCATCATATTTATACCATTATCGATCAGGAACAGGTACCTGCAGCAACGGAACCTCCTCAATTGGCAATTCAGCTCCAAGGTCACCTCTAGCTACCATAGCCTACAAAAGATTACAGGGAAAGATGGAATCAAGGCTGCAGCACAGGAAAAAATATTATAAGGTAGAAAACTGACAGTCATATAAACCATCATGTTTGAAACATAATATTCATTACTAAGAGAAAAGTCAATAACGAAACGGTGTTAGGCTTAATTAGAACTTTGAGACAACCCCCCGCCCCACCCCCACCCTCCCCACCCCCCAAAAAAAAACAACAAAAAAGAGGAAATAACCTTCCCTCTCTATTTCTGATGTCTACTTCTCTTCATTTGCAGCCAACTTTTACTTCTTTGACAGAATTCCAACTGAGCCAACTCCTTCAATAGCAACCATCTTAAATGGATGATTATATAACCTTCTAACCTACTCGGCACAGCTTAAATGGACGATTAACATTTTATACAACACCCAAAATTATCATACAGACACTTGAAGTATGAAAAGATAATAGACTTATTCCTTAGTCGTCAATTTTATGCACACCAGGTTTATTATGAAGTTTCTGTGCCCCATGATTTACATTGTCTAGCAAGTAATGTGTTAACTTCCCAGTAATTCATTTATTCAAGTACCCGTACAAAGCTTGTCTCATTATTTATGCTTGCAGTAACCCTGTTTGATCTTAAATTCTCCAGAGTGATTCCCTTGAAAACTTTGGTCAAGGTCACATCAAGAAGATGCTGTTTATGGAACTGAGCATTGGTATATAACATTCAGATGATCTATTAATTTATGGCAGACAAAAGACAATCCAGCTAACCTGGAAAGAACATACAAGTAAAGGTGATAAACATACGAGGTCATATGAGGTAATGAACTTGTGAAGGAAAAAATATCATTGTTTTGCCAAAGACAATCTACAGATTCCGGAAGTCATAATACATCTGCATATATTCCAAAATATGCTGTGATGTAAAAGTTCTATCCAAGTGTTCAGCAGCAGAGAAAGTTCCCTCCAATAAACAATCTTGTTATTTAACAATACAACAATTGAATCATGAAGTTGAATTCTTACCCCATCAGATGCAGTTATTATAGAATGCAAATTTGGGATGGAATCAGCACTTTCTATTTTCACGATTACATGAATATCAGCACCACAGCCTGCCGAAAATGACATGATAGAGTTATAGTTGTCAATGAAGGATGGAAATTGCTCCTAAGAAGAAATTTCTTTCAGAATAGGTGTGGGGAATCATTGGTAATTACTTTGCAGGTAGCCTTTCAATTCGTGCACAACATCAGCATCTTTGACAAATGAAACTGCATAATAGTCTACTTTATTTTCAACCCCAAACTTAATATCATCCCAATCCTTTTCTGCAAAAGATAAAACAATGTTACACATACAAATGAGACGATCAAGAAAAATAGAGATTAGAATCATGCATTAGTATATAATGTGCATTACTAACGTAATCTATTCCTTACCAGTGATGGATGGCAAAGTAGCACTTTTTCCACGAACATTCAAATGGCGCCTAGATTTGAGCTCACCTCCATCAACAACTTCACACTTCACAGTATCTTCAGTTTTGGATTTCACCATTAAAGACATCATTCCTCCTGAAAAGATTACAAGTGACACGTGGATAGTTATTAATCAACATCCGAATACTGTAGCACCTTGAGTTTCATGTAACTTTCAATAAACATTAAAGGGAAACAGTAAATGAAACATTTTCACAAAGATGATTGACCAGTTATTTCAACTTCAAGATTCCTTTCGTGTAGTTTGTTCCTATTGTCAGCTAGCTTCATGCTAATCCCCAATGACGCGTTACAACTTCTTTTATGTTGTTTAACTTTTCCTCTCTTGGTGTCTGAAGCATCTGTTCCAGCCTTTTTCTTTTTTCTTCTTTTTATTATGTTGATAGTCATTACTAACTTGTCCATTTCCAAACAGTCTTGTTTTGAACACCTATTGGCTTATTCTAATTTCTAGCAAAATGGATTACAAAGTAACAATTCCAAGTTCAATTTTGGATTTCAACACGTTAATGACTATTCCGCCATTCCTATGCATAACAGTAAGCAAAAAGGCGGGCTAGAATGCTTGAAGACTACTACGTAGTAGGCTACTGATATCGGATCAGGTGCTAGAGAGACACGGATATGGCCATTTCAAGTCAGATATCATTTTCAAGGTCCATGTCGGGCGTGTCGGGGGATATTGCGGGCATATCGGCCGATTTTCAGCCTTGAAAAAGCAGAAATCGGCTGATTTTTTTATTTTTTTATTATTTTTTGAGTACTGGGGTTTGGGTTTAGTACTCAAAAGCCAAAACTGATTAAATTTTTTTAGCCTTTTGTTCCCATAATAACTCGATGGCATATAATATAGATTAGGGCAAAGAAAAAAATATTGCTCTCTTTTCCGCCGCGATGTCCTCTCGTTCATCTTCATCTCTACAAATTAAAATTGAGAATTCATAAAAGCGTGATGTAAAAAATAAGTTTTAACCGTAGCTTGAAATCAATTCAAAGTCTAACTCTTTATGTCAATTTTATGCAAGACATTTTACTTCATGTTAATTTTATGCAAGGCACTTCGAAAGTTCTAGTTTGACAATGTGTATTTAATTTATTCGTTGGCATAATTTCTAATGTTTCCCTTCAAAAAATGGAAAACAACTTGTGTCTTGATGATGAATACTCAACTTAAGTAGAATAAGCTACAACAAGACAAGTGCATTCCATCTTGGTGACCAAAATTGAGTAAAAATCCATTCGATATGGCTATCCGATATTTAGTATACGTCCCTCGACATAACCCCGATTTCCGCTATCCGACATGAATTTTAGCTGTCCAACATGAACTTTGACATCCGACATTTAAAACCTTGAGTAGTAGGGACAAAAACAATGACTATTGGACGCTTTCCTGCCATGTCAGACACACTTGTACATGACACTCGTGTCCATCAAATAGCAATGCCAAAAAAATCATCTATTTTACTTCCAAAATTATATTTAAGATGGAGAAGTTGAGCCTCTTCTAATAAAGCTAACTATTTTATAGGTCATTTTGCTAAAATTGGATTTTTTTTCATATATATAAGTAATAACAAATATGCATATTTACATGAGCCACGTATACATGTACATTTATGATTGTGCCCATGTCCATGTGCCTTAATTTTGGAGATTTGCCATGTCAGATACCCCGTGTATGTCCCATGTCTACAAAGCGCAGGGGGCAAACATTTCAGTTGCACTTGAAAATATGTCAAATGTTATGGAGAGGCAATTAAACATGATAATCACCATGAACAGTGAAACTCTCCATCCTGAGTTTGCAGAAAGTAAGTGAAATTTGTGACATAATAAAATCAGACCAGTATGTGCGCTACTAAATTAGGCATAGAGTAGAACCCGCAACAACCTGTGATCATATATTAGAAGCTCCCGTGCATATTAACAGTGAGATGACAGGTTCGTACTCTTACCTGTGTCCGTGTGAGAATTATATTCTGATGCATATACCTACTATTGACCTTCAGCAATCTACCAATATATTTTTTTCCCTTTTTAAAGTTTGTATTCCTTCTATGAAACATCATAGTTCTTTACATTAGAGTATGAAAGAAAATATTCAAAAAAGCACAGAATATGTTCATACCGTCTACAAGGAGCATATCACCAGCTTCTACATCATTAATAAAGTCGTCATAGTTCACACTAACACAATCATCTGTGCTAACCCCTCTTTTTATTGTGAAGGAGAACTCCTGACCGCTCACTAGGTCAATTGGTTGTGGCAAGTCACCACTCCTAACTTCTGGGCCCTGGAAAATATAAAAGGAGAAATAAAAATGATTGACTTGTCCATATCAGACAGATTGACAGGAGGCAGAAAAATAAATAAATAAGCTAACAAGCTAATAACTTTTTTTGGAGCATCCTTGTGAAACTTTGACTCGCCTTTATATATGATATGATGAAAAATAAAAAACCATGATTGTATCATATAAATGGTTAAGGGCTCTAGCTACAGGATTCGCCAAATCAAGAAATTCTCAGAGAGAAAAAGAAGAATATGAAGAGACTTGCCTTAGTATCAAGCATGATTGCAATGACATTGTCCTTTGATTGAGCATTATACTCTTTCACAAGATCGATGACCTTCTGATGAGAAGCATGGTCTCCATGTGACATATTAAGCCGAGCAACATTCATGCCGGCTTCTGCAAGCTTCCATATCATCTCTTTCGTATTGGTGGATGGTCCAATGGTGCAAACTATTTTAGTCTTTCGCCTCACATTTGGTTTGGACCATGCACTCAGCGATCCATTACCATGCTGCTGAATGTTCTTGAGCTGTTGAAATTTCTCATCTTCCTAAACAATCAATTGCAATAATAATATGGTAAGGCTTACTTTTTCATTAAAGATGTAATGTTGCCCCATAGAAAAAGAATAGTACTGGTCAGTGATGGATCATATATGCTACATCTCCAATTTGACTTGGGTTCCAAAATTTTAACTTCGTAGCAGAAGAGTTTACTGAAATTTTAAAAGCATGTTGCTATGTTAATACAAGATAAGTGCGTGAACGGTTCGAAAACAGTTAGTCAGTGCCTGCTTTTTTCCAATTTTCTTATTAAGCATTAATAGTTTAATACATGTGACTTTTTTATCAATTCTGCACTGTTTATAAATTGAGAAAATACATGAGAAATGACTCCGAAACTAAAAACATAAAAGACCAACATAAAGCCTTGAAGAATTTGAATACAGTAAAAGTTCCAAATGAACCAAAAAATGAATTTTAACTAATCAAGTTCGCAACTTTCCATTGAATTAATTGCCACAATGTCACGTTGAATCAAGATTATGATAAAATAGTTGCCATACTGCACAATGTTCATTTTAGATCTCGGGACCAAAAAATGATAACTTAGCTGAAATAACAGAAGATTAAATGGAAACACCAAATGAACCAAACATGACAACATAATCACAGCGTTAGACTAAAAATGTCAACCTCAAATGAAACTTAATCACAGCTATTAACATAACAAAAACAATGAGACCTGAAAGCAAATAAAGCTGACCTTCATCAAATCATCAGAAGAAACCGGAAACGCAGTAGAGAATCTACTGGCCACCGCTTCAACTCGAGGACTTCCACGCCCTCTGCTTCTCTTGCCCTCTTTCTCTCCTCCGTATAATTTCGAAGGAATTGCTGAGGGTTTAAGCTTATCCAATTTCTTGATGGCTCCAGATCCAGAGCTAGGGCTCAAGAGAGAAGACGATCCACTGACGATTTGAGCCATCGATGATTTCGAGAAGAGAGGGTTCGTGTATGAGGAGAGAGAGACTGAGAGTTGGGAATGGAGGTGAGGGTTTAAAATAGAGAAGGGAGCTTCGATTGCATCGAAGCCCAACTGTCCCTTTGGCCTCTCGGTCTCCGTCAGCTAACCTATTCAAAACTAGGACCGAATTTACGAAAACAGACCTAAACTTTCTCAATAATTACGGGAGTGCCCCGCTCTCTGACAGTTATATGCGTGAGGGTTGTACCTAGGTCGATGAGGAAAAGCGCTTGACCGTTCATTACACCCCGAGTTAGAGGATGGACGGTGGGTGCAAGATGCATAAGGGCCTGTTCGTTTGGCCAAAAAAACTGGGAAATCAAACTTTAGGAAACCTATTTCCTATTATAATTACTTTGAAGTTGTTTGGTTGGTTTAAAAAAAAGGAAATTATAGAATAGGAGATGAGATGAGATGAGTTGTCACCTTATTATTGGATGAAGTGAGTGATTTTTTAAAAAACTTGTTTTGAGGTTGTTTGGTTGGTTAAAAAAATAAGGAAATGAATTGGAGGTATATTATTGGATGATGTTTTGAGGTTGTTTGTGTTTGGTTCGTTTTTAAAAATAAGAAAATAGATGAGATGAGATGAGTTGGAGGTATATTATTAGATGATGTGACATGTACTTAAGGAAATTAATTTCTTGTTTTTTTTGAGGAAATGGGTGGAAAGGAATGTTTAATGAGATGAGATGAGTTGTCACAATATTATTGGATGATGTGTGTGATTTTTAAAAATGAGATAAAATGAGATGTGATGAGTTGGATGATGTGACACATTTCTTGTGTTTGGTTTATTTTTAAAGGTAAGAAAGGAGATGAAATGAGATGAGTTGGAGGATAAAAATAATATTTTATTGGATGTTGTGGGTGAGTTTTAGGGATGGAAATGGATAAAAATATTATTTTATTGATTTCCTTGTACCGATTTCCTTTTCTTGGTTTTTAGGAAACCAACCAAACAGCCCCTAAGCAGAAAAGTTAGTTTCTATGCGGTGCGCTGTGCTCGTAATGAGAGAGGGGGTATTTCTACGTGAAGCACGTGAGCTTTTGGAATCATGATTTTCTCTCCGCATTAGGAGGGATTTTTTACCCCTCATTTCAGATCTCAGTATAAAATGGTGAAGTGGGGAATTTACGTGTTGCGCGTGTTTTCACAAAGATCTTAACTTATAAAATATTATGTGTTGTTGCGTGTGTTTCATGTAAATCTTAGGCCTTAGGTGTGTTTGGCAGCTCAAATGAAAACATGTCACGTTTAAATGTTTAATCATTAAACTAGTTATGTTCGGAACCAAATTTGGTTGTGGATCAGCTCCGCCCTGCTTATAACTAAACCAATTTAAGAAGTCTATATTTGAATTAAGGGCATGTTTGGCTATTTCCACGAAAAAAAGGGAAATGGAAAACCCTTTTTGGAAACTAGTTTCAAGCCCGTGCGATGCACGGATTTCTCTAAAATACAAAAATTGCTGTAGCAAAATAATACAAAATAAAATAGTAATAATATGTAAATAGTCAGAAATGATACAACCTAAACTGCATATATGTTTGACTTTATATTAAACGGTTAAAAAGAATGAAAATATAATTCTCATATTCTCATAACAAAACTGCTTAAAATGCCTAATGTCTTTATGATTAATGTCATAATATTTTGTTGTAGCAAGTAATTAGCATGAAGCATAATTTTTAGTTCCAAACAAAATATTCAAAGCACATAGAGATACATGTCAATTATATATATTTGAATGAAAATAATAACTATCAATATATTGATAAACCAAATATCCAGCATAATATAATCATATCAAATATTTAGGTTTATCAACCCAAAACCACCAAAATAATCTGCACTGATTACAAAAGCTTACTAAATATGTATTCATACAATGATACTAAATATAAGTTTCATACATCATAAATCAGATAGGTTTTTCCCTTCAAAATGTAGCTTCTACTCTCCGTAGAATATAGTAATTATCTTTTTCAATTTTGATATGTTTTTCCTTTTTGTTGCTTGACATTTGCGGAGAGATCAAGTCCACTGAAACAGATTGCTCGACATCAGATTCGAACAAATTTCTCTTGCAAGATGTAATGTTATCTGAGGAACAAATTTCAACTTCTGTATTGTCACAAGTGACAGATAAAGAGACCTGTGTTTCATTATTATAAAATAAAATAATAGTTAGCATGTTAATGAGGTGGTAGGAATAGATGTTCTACAATTAATGTGAAGAATTAAGAAATTATAAGTAAGGTGAAAAGAAGTAGGCAATACAGAAGTTGCAATCTATACTTAATAAAGCGAAACTCATCCGGCAAGGAATTGATCAGTCCATCTATTTTTTCCTTTTCACTCAATGCAGGCTCCGTTTGAACTTCCATTTTAAATAATATATTTCGCATATTTGAAATGTGTTCATCTATTGTCTCATTTCTTTTGAACTTATGTGTCATATACTCTAGCTTGGAAGGTTTGCGATAGGGGAATGCGAGCCTAATTTGATGACCATCCCTTCCCCAGAATGATAATGTTCTTTTCTTGTTGTTCGTTTCACAATCGCCATCACTAAAAAATAAAAAAAAATGTATGTTAGTATGTGTGATTAGAATCCTAGATGGGGAAGGGATGGCTCCTAGTTTCTACATAGTGAAATGCATAAATTGATGTAGCAAAAGAATAAAAAAAAGAATACAGTGTAAAAAATAAGACAACATATGATCAATAATCTTCTCAGTGAATTTGAGTATTTAAGATAGCTACTTTTCTAATTAATCTATGGTTAAGTTTTTCATCAAGAAATAAAACCATATTTCAATTAATACTCATTCTCCAATTGCCAAACTTTAAATAAAAAAAAAAAAAAAGATACAGTAGCTAATTTAAATTCAAAGTAATAAATAAGGTCTATTTTACATATCAATATGCTGTCTACTTTATTCTAATATTAATGAGGTAACTAACAAATTCTATAGCAAACTAAGTCCTACTATCAATAAAACCTTGTCATGCATCGTGTCCTAGTGTGATGTCCCAGGTCGAGTCCCACATCAGAAAATAAAAAGAATTATAAAGGGTTTAAATGTAACAAAAAAAATATCATTCGGTTGAAATTATACACATGAGAACTAATAACAGTAGTCCACCAATTGGAAAAAATAAAAAATATCATTCGGTTGAAATTATACACATGAGAACTAATAACAGTAGTCCACCAATTGGAAAAAATCCACCTACATATATGATCAATTTTTAAATCTAAAATGCGCAGCAACTACAGTCTATATAGCACAACTAAAATAATACTCGGGAAAATTAGGAATGAGACGTTCTATAAGTTTTACTTTCGTCACATTAACCATGTTGAAAAAGAGAGTGCATGCAATAGAACAATGTATTAGATCAGCGTGACAAAGTCCATAAGAACATGTATGTACTGCAGAAAACAAATTTTGCTATCTCCTATATGGATTTTGAAAGGTAAACTATCAACAAAAAAGAGTACGCATATTTATGAGAAATACGTTTGCAATATCAATTGGGGAAAAAATGCAGAACAGAGCAATACATTTGCAGTTAAAATGCAGAACAGTTCCAAACTCATTGCTGTATGCACAGAGTTACCACGAATGCATAATGAGCAGCTAGTATCAATTGGTTCAAAGATGAAGAACAGTTTCAATTTTGCCCTATCCTTGTATTTTTGGCTTTGCAAGAACCACCTGATAACTTAATTAATGATATGTCAGTATTGACAACTTGATTGTTTGCTATATTATTGAGTTTGTGTTGTGTTAGTGTTTAGAAGTCCTCAGGTCATAACTGACCTCATTATAGAAAGGATGTTATTGTGCAATATTCTCTTAAGACTGAAATACACTTACGTTTGTGGATGACCAAAATTGACATGAAGGATAAGACAAACAATTATATGTGCAACTTCAAGCTGTTAGGAGTCACAATCTTGGAATAATAAGTTAAATTTGGTCAGGTTGCTTTACACTCAGAGTTCAAGTGGTTAGACCGGTTGAACTTTCAAAAGAAAAAACTTAATCATGCAAAAATAAGAGAGAAAGAAGGTTGTCTAGGTATTACTTTCATACATCAATCATAAATTTCAAAACCTAAGGACTATGTTATCAATAATATGAAATATAATAAGCAAGAACAAACTGCAGTTTGTACATTATAGTGTTTTCCTGGTGCGGGTGTGAGTGAAATTGGAAACCCATGGTAGGGATGAAGAATGAGCCAGAACAAACTGTAGTTTGTACATTATTTACAAACTGTAGTGTATATGTTATTTACGTCAAGCAATCACATTAAATACACACAAGAGTCTGCATTATCATACATTCACAAGGTCAGATGTTTGGACAGCTCCTCTTCTTAGTCTTCATATTTTCGTTCACTCCAGTAACAACTTGCGCTAGTAACTCAAAAGAAAAGGATAATAGAAAGTGGTTTTGTAGAAAAGAAACACAAGTGCAATTATCCTTTTCTACAATAGTTGCTAATTCTACAGACATGTGTATAGAAAATGGTAATTGCACTTCTGTGTACATAGAAAAATGGTATAGAAAGTGGTCAGATGTTTGTACATTATCCTCTTATTTTTGCATGATTTAGTCAGACAAATCTGTACCATTTTCTGTAAAAAGTCAGATAAATCTACAGATATGAGATGTAATCTTTTTAGTGGATTCATTTCCTATGTACTCATCAAATGCTTTGTCTAAAAAATCTGATGAATCCAAATAATTCAGGATAGGCCTGTTAATAAGAGTGCAAGGAAAGTCAACAGATTGCACTATATATGCAATTAAGTCTCTCACAACAAAAAAACAAAGACAAAACATTGCACAACTAAGCATGAAAAAAAAAACAAAGACAAAACGTTGTTGTGAGTGGTCAAGATTAATACATGCTCGATGATAACAAAATAGTGGGAATTAGCCTGCGTGATAAAGTTTAATAACAGTGAGTACCAATCAAATAAATCAAAGTAATTATGAATCAATTTCAGTAAAGAGCAAAGGTTTGCCGCATGCTCATTAATTTTTGTATATTAAACAAATTCCTCTGAGATCCGTATGGTCCTTTATGAGTGTAATCACTTTAGTTTACAGATATTAACACAAAATAAATCAAAGCAAATATAGGATATTTCACAATAACTAATAAGAAATTCCCACCAAAAAAACAAATTTCACTCCTTCTGCATATTAACAACATGTTTAAATATCACACTAATCAACTCAGTTAATGTTATCAATTATGCAATAATGTCCAGGTTAATTTTCAAATTTCAAGCATGCCCATTTGCGTGCATATTTCAATCAATGTACTCAAAAACTTGAATGCACATCCTATACATAGCATATAACTTATTAGCAATGGTACAGGTTTGTGTACATAGAAAATGGGTAGTAAACTTAAAAATGTTCCGAAAGCAATGGTACAGGTTTGTGTACATAGGATGTGCAATCAATGTACTCATAAACTTGAATGCACATCCTACACATCCTATACATAGCATATTTTAATCAATGTACTCTTTTATAATGTCTTTTGATTAGGGCTCCCTGTCCTACCTTTTTGTTAACTTAAAAATGTTAATTTAGAAATATATATGATATTATTGGCAGTAAACTGCATAGTTATGCCCTTATTCAACCCTTCACTAATGTTGGATATGCACGAGAAAACATGGTTTAAAACTTAATTTATAGGTTCATTCCTCAAAAAAAAAAAGAACTTAATTTATAGCAATTGACTAACATTATTTAACTCGGTTATAGACTTTCAATGAATTTAATGAGGCGTAGTCACTACTACTAATACTATCTCTAATTAAGTTCATAGTCTCCCGTTGTGTTGTTTGAGTCTTAATTGTCGTTGTTGTTGATTATTTTCTTTTATGTTCCATTTTAGTAAGCTTTGGCAAATTAAGAAAAGCGAAAGCTATTAAGATTAATAACAATGTAGAAGAATTTGCATCAGTTGGAATTATAGACAATAAGTAAGCTTCGGCAAATAAGATTGAAGAACATTTATTGATCAATGGTTTAAATTGACAGTAAATAAGCTCTGACACAATCAATTGTCAAAATTAATACCTGCTCGATGATAACAAAATAGTGGGAATTAGCCTGCATAATAAAGTTTAACAACAGTGAGTACCAATCGAATTTACAACTTCTGGATGTGTTAGCTAATTTAACAAAAACTTCTTCAGGTCAAAATTTTCAGGTCAAAATAAAAGTAATCATATACAAAATGAAAAAGAACAAAAATTTCTTCAGGACAAAATCTTATATGCTATATCTCCCTTCTTCACAGAATATCTGGTTTTTATCCATAATCAGCCCTGCGGTTTTCAAGGCTCAAAGACACTACAAAAAAATTATAGAAGTTCATCTGGTGGAAATGAAAGGAAACAGAGTCATTTCAGACATGATTTGCAACCAAGCACACCGACATTGGAGGTATTCAGATACATTGTCATAACTGACTAAAGTAAATCAGGGCACAATGCATATTAAGTACTAATAAACATGTTAGGAATGATAGAAGTTAAATGATGGAAATGACAAAGCTTTGTGCCACAAATATAATAACAACCAGAGCACCTTCTTTCTTAATTCTTCTTTTTTTTTCCTTTCTCAAAACAGCATCAAATTGATGATATGATTCATTTCACAGAAAAACAGATAAGAAAACTGAAAATTTACAGCTTCAAGGCTAAATGAGAATCCACGAACCTTATATTTATTGTTCTATAAATATAATAATGTGTCACATATGCACAACGTGCATATAAACTGGTTGCTTTTTAGCATCATAATAATTAATCAACATAATTCACCCCTACTTACCATAAAAGTTGCACAGGCATTTGAAAAGTTTGAAATGCAAATTCAAAAATGACAACAACATTCTTTAAAATCAGTCAACAATTCTTTTTCTTTTTTTCTTTTTCTTTTTGAGAAAAAGTCAGTAAACAATTCTCATATTCAATGACACCGCACAATGTCATTCTTATATGTCATTTTAAGTGGAACTCTTTCTAAGTCAAGCAAACCAAGGCATTCCACTCACATTTTAAGAAGGCCTCATTTTAACCCTAACCGAATCAGCTCCTAATAAAATCAAAACCAAAGTCTTTCTTAACTGGACCAACTTTTTGACCAATTTTTTGATCATAGAGATACACAGTTTACCTTACATTCTTTTCCAACAAACAATTGCATAATCATATCAAAAAATATAAGATAATGCACATCATAAGAAAAACAAAACATTTCATTAAAGAGTCAGAACATGTTCTCAGATTTCAAATTACAACAAACAATTGCATAATCATATCAAAAAATATAAGATAATGCACATCATAAGAAAAACAAAACATTTCATTAAAGAGTCAGAACATGTTCTCAGATTTCAAATTACAAAAATAAACCAAAATGCGAACATTAGAAGAAAATGACATAGGTTCCAATCACAGTAGAACAACATCAAAATGGAGAAGGAAAATATGTGTTTCGATAAAGTGGTAACAGTTTTAATAGATAATATAGATAATAACGTGGAAGGAGGGGAAAGATCCAGAAAGTAATAAAAGATCAAAGATTTTAATTTGCTTTGGGAAGACAAAAAAAACAAAAAGATGAAAGAGGTTGGGGAGATGAAAGGGTTTCTGGAAATTGGTTACAGAGGCTATCAAATAACAATGTTGAAATTAGATATTTAGAATCCACAAACAACCTAACAATTTCGTTGGCTGCTTTTTAGCATCATAATAATTAATCAACATAATTCACCCCTACTTAACATAAAAGTTGCGCAGACATTTGAAAGTTCGAAATGCAAATTCAAAAATGAATAATTTAGTATATAGCTAAACGGTCTAATAACCACTGCTCAACTTTCAACATATAAGGAGAAAATATATAACCTCATTCAGCATCCTGTGAAGCTCATCCCTTGCCTCAAAAACACGATCTCTGCCATTGCTGTCAACGACAAAAAGATGGATAATCATATCAGCATTTCTAAAATAATGCACATCAAATAAGGAAAACAAAACATTTAATTAAAGAGTCAGAACATGTTATCGAATTTCAAATTACAAAAACAAACCAAATTGCAAACAATAGAAGAAAATGACATAGCTTCTAATCACAACAACATCCTTTAAAATCAGTAAACAATTCCTTTTCTTTAAAATCAGTCAACATTCATTAAAATCAGTCAACAATAGAAGAAAATGACATAGCTTCAAATTACAAAAACAAACCAAATTGCAAGACTCCTCAGCTTCCTCCTAATTATGCTGGCTCGAAATATGAGTACTGCCCTGGATCCTAATGGTGCAAGGTGACGAGCTACTGAAAATGCTCGGGATCAAATCCTCATGCTCTCTCTTCTCTGCGTCACCAAAACACACAAACAATACATAAATAATAATAAAAAAATCTATTTTCCCCAGAATTCAAGCAAATTAACTACAACACTCAAATGACCAAGAACCCTTTTTGGCTTCTTCTTCGCCTTCGGCTGCGGCGGCGATGGTCTACTCTCAGGCTCTCTCTTCAAAGAGGCAGGCGGCGGCGGCGGCGGCGGGGGGGGGGGCTCGTAGGAGTCGATTCCTCAGCGTTGCCGGGCAGGGATGGTGAGTTGCGGCGATACGCTGCGGCGGAAGGCGTCGAGTAATGCTGTCGGCGAGGAAAGCCCGCCCGACCAGTTCCATTGGAGGGCGGCCGGAGGCGGGCCTTTGGTGGCGATCGCCGGATCGGAGGCGGGCGAGCTGAGACTGCGACTCCTTCAGCCTCCTCTCCGAAACTTCCAGCTGCAAATTTCTCGTTTTTGATGGGATCGGAGGCGGGCGAGCGAACTGAGAAGGTGGCGTTTTTTATGGGAGCTTTGGAAATGGTTGAGTTTTTGAAGGGAGCGTTGGAAATGATGGGAGGCGAGAATGGTTGAGTTTTTTGATGGATGCTTTGGAAATGATGGCACAGTTAAGAAAAAAACTGGAACCCAATGCAACTTTGGGTTTGCAATGTGCTTGGAAATTAAAATATATGTTACGAAAGAGAAGGTGGCGTTTTTGCTGAATCAATTTTTTTAAAGAAAATTTTAAAAAAAAAGGAGAAGTTGCCACGTGTCATTTTTGCCAAGTGGCGTTTTGAAAGGGAAGAGTTTTTAGTAATAGTATATAGATGATTTCAACACATATCAAGAGGTTTTCCAGTTTGTTTTTTTTTTGTTTGTTTTGCAAAGAAACCTCCCTTTTTCACTGCCAAGTCAAAAAAAACCTCCATAGTAACAGTGCTTTTGATTTCCATTTCTTTAGTTAGTTTGACAAGAAGAAAAAGAAAAAGAGAAATGACCCATTAAAAAAGAAATTTATTCATCATGATACTCTCCAATAGTGCATTTATTAATTAAAAACTCATTGATGTGACATTTCCAAGTGTTTTCACAGATGATACTCTCCAATAGTGCATTTATTAATTAAAAACTCATTGATGTGACATTTCCAAGTGTTTTCACAGCTTTTTATTGTGAAAACACATTTCTTGAAATGTGACATGACATCCTAGGTGGCATCCCAATTTCCTTAAATAAAAGAAATAAAACAAACATGTGAAATGAAAATGTGCTGAAACCAAAAGCTGATGTGAATGGGGGGATTTCCTCAAAGGTGACATGGCGGCTAGTTTTCTTCTTTTTTTTTTGGCAAACAAACAGTCCCTAAGCCAAACTGAGAAAAAATGACTCTGTTTTTACCGATTAGTAGAATTTTCTCTATTTGGACCATGTTTAAACTTGGCCTAGTCTTAAACGGCGTCCAAATTAAGCCTTAAATTTGATGATTATTAATATCCAACTTTTGGGATTTCTTTCATAGAAAATATGAGGCTTCGAACTCAAAAGCCCGAACTTCAAAGATGCAACTGCAATGATTCTTTATTAAAAAAACATGTAAAATTATCATCTAAAATTTTTTGTCTACATTAAATACGTTAGATTTTTAACTCCAACAATGCAGATGCAACAACAGTTTCTTTCGATATTTATTTTATTCGTTAGCTCTATAACTTTTTACTAACTAAAAAACTCCTGCACGTTTATTCCCATTTCATCTCATTTCACAACATCCAATAAAATAATATTTTTATCCATTTTCATCCTTAAAACTCACTCACAACATCCAATAAAATAATATATTTATCCTCCAACTTATCTCATTTCATACCTTTGAAAATAAACCAAACACAAGAAATGTGACACATCATCCAATTCATCACATCTCATATTATCATCTTTTTTAAAATCACACACATCATCCAATAATATTATGACAACTCATCTTATCTCATTAAACCTTACTTTCCATCCATTTCCTCAAAAAAAAAAAAAAAAACAAACAAACAAAAAATTAATTCCCTTAAGTATGTGTCACATCATCCAATAATATACCTCAAACTCATCCCATCTCATCTATTTTCTTATTTTTAAAAATAAACCAAACACAAACAACATCAAAACATCATCCAATAATATACATCCAATTCATTTTCTTGTTTTTTTAACCAACCAAACAATCTCAGAACAATTTTTTTTTTTAAATCACTCACATCATCCAATAATTCATCTCATCTCATCTCCTATTCTATAGTTTTCTTCTTTTTTAAGCCAACCAAACAACCTCAAAACCTATTCTATAGTTTTCTTCTTTTTTAAGCCAACCAAACAACCTCAAAACAATTATTATAGGAAATATGTTTCCTATTCTTTTTTTTAAGCCAACCAAACAACCTCAAAACAATTATTATAGGAAATATGTTTCCTATTCTTTGATTTCCTAGTTTTTTTTGCGAAACGAACAGCCCCTAACTCGTAATAAAATGAATTACCGGTTTTTTTGTGCAACCGACATGAATGTGGGTCAATAAGGGGGTGTTAGTCAATTGAGACATTTTCATGCAAAATGGGATAATTATTAAAGTGGAATAAATTTTCGCTAGTGGAATATTTTAGTAGGATAAATAAGAATAATTTTGTGAAGCGGGATATTTTGATAAAATAACGTGGGATAAATTTTTATAATCATGAAATATATATTTATGCATTTTGAAGATACAGATACTATTTATGTATTTTAAACTTACTATTAATAATTGATAATTGCTTACAAGAATGTTTTTTACTATTAAATAACTTTTGGTTAGACCATAAGATATTGACAATTATTATTATAATGATGATCTAATGATGATAATAACCATAATCGGAAAGAAGTAAAGAAAAAAAAAAGAAATATAAAAAATAATAAAATAAATATGAGTTCTAATTTTTTACCACCTAATTCCAAGCTAAAACTTGGAATGGTTTGAGGGACTAGAACTCTCATTTTTGTATAGATAAAAAAATAAAAAAATGAGATAATTTTGTACCATTATTCAAATTCTAGTTTTATTAGAATTTTACTTGACTAACACTGTAAAATTTTATTTTTGTTTTAGTTCAATGTGACTAACACCTTAAAAAATTCTCCCACATATTATCCTATTCTAATTTTAAGTGCTAGGGGACAAAGCCCCTAGAGTTCGGGCAGCGATCTCACGTGCCCCGAACCTGAAAGCGCGGGAAAATTACTCCCCAAAGCTCCATTAAGCGGGAAAATTCCCATCTTTTCTATTTCACGCATTCCCCTCTCCCAAAGGCTCTATCTCTTCTACTTCCCAAACCCTAATTCCCACATCTGAAAACCTCAAATGAACAAGATCTCGACGAATTTCCTTAAAAAACCGACGAAACCCTAGCCACAACCATCTAACCTCGAAGAAGAAATGGACACTCAGGGATTATCCATCATTTGCGCAGGCCTCGGCGAGCAAGTAGAAGACGATGACGGCGCCCTGATCGGTTATACTAAGAGCGAGTACTGCTTAGGTACGGCCGCATTAATCTTTTGAAACCCTAGTTTTAGTCTATTGTAGCTCTTGAAAATTTGCCTCTTTTGCGATTTTGTTCAGATAATTTGAAGGATCTGCAGAGATTTCTACGTCGAGATCATCCAATGCGACGAGACGTATTCAAACAGATTTGTAAATGGAACACCGTGGCCGGCGATATCGTCCCCCTTATCGAATTTCACCAAAGCGATCGCAATTTAGTGATCACAGCGGGTATATTCGCCCTAATTTTCAAATATCATGTAAAAAATTTATTCTTTTTGGGAATAATTGCTTCCTACCTTAATTTGACAGTGAAAATCTTGGTGTTTTTGACGATGCCGATTGATCCTGCATCTGATGACGTGGCACAGCAGATAGAGTATCTGTGGGATTTAAAGGCTGCGTTGACTCGGAGTGTTACGGTAGCTGTTATAGTTTCATTGCTTGAAGATCCACTGGAACATCTTGAAAGGTACGCTAATCTGCACAAATTTATCAATAGCCTCTCGGTCAATTCTTTTTATTTTTAGTTTCTCTTTTTTGAGAAAACCACTTGGTCAATTCTGTTTCATCATTACTAGTTATGTGTCAGCAGAACAATAAAAATTTAAGATGTTGAGTACCATCACTCTTGATGACTAAGATCACACAATCAGTTGGTTTGGATCTGGGGCGGGATCGGTTCCTCTCGGACTCTTATCGGGATGAGGTAGAGGAGATTTATGAAGTCCTTCTCTGACTTTATGTCTGATTCTTGAACCGGGGTTACCGATCATGCTGTATAAGCAAAGAATTCGTGAGAGGACGGGGACCGGTTTTCCCGTGGTTCCTCCGACGATCAAGTCAGCTGGTGAGCTTGAGTGGGGAAGGGGAATGTCAGGAATCGATGAGGTTCTTGAGGGAGTTGTGTGCATGTGGGAGGGAGATTCAGTATAGTGTTATTTTCAGAGAGAGATATCCCTTCTCTTCGCCCAAAAAAAAGCCCCCTCCCAAGTTAGGGTAGTATCTTTATATATATTTGGTGTGTGAAGGGTAGTGTCATCATTTTGATCGAGCACAGAAAGGCAGAGACGAAGCGCAAGCTGAAAGCCGAGTCATCCCCATTTAGACAGGTGTCGGCTGGCGACTGGGAAGTCACTTCGATATGGGAGGGCGCGTCTTTGCATTATCCGGAAGTGATGGTGTGGCAGGGCACGATGGCAGCAGTGTTTTAAATATCGGTCGACATGTCGGACGATATAGCGGATTGAGGGGTTGAGCGACACAAATCGGGGAAAAACAAGTCGCATATCGTTTTTCGACGACATATCGGCCATATCGGCGAAAAATCGATCATATTGGCTGATTTTTCCTGTTTGGAAAATCGGTCGAGATTTGGGATTATCGGTTTAGGTTTATTGGGTTTGGTTTGGGTTCATCAACCTGATAGACACCCTATAGACACCTGATCAAAAGAAAAAAAAGGAGAAAAACACCCGATCAAAAGAAAAAGAAGAAAAACCCTAGGGCTCGCTCGCGATCGGGAACCCAACATCCTCTCTTGTCATTTTGCTTTCGTGGTCTCAACAACAGCAAAAACCCTAGGGCTTCTCCTCTCTCTCTTCCTTACGACATAGTCCGAAGCTCCTCTCGTCGTTTTGCTTTCGTTTTGCCATCGGAGTCGCCTTCTCCTCTC